AAGACCCATTCCAGTGCTGAAATGCTTCCACCGCCACTAGATCCACAAGACTTTCCACCCACTGGCCTGTGATCTTCCTGCATTCAGCATCATTGCATGGCTGTGTGAATCTAAAGAGGAATTTATGCACTAGTAGCAACATATGGGGTAATATCCGACTTAGGGACTTAATCTGGACTGGGCTGGGATGTTATCTTTTTTTTTTTTTATTTAATCATTTTACTGGGAGCTCTTATCACAATCCAAACATACTTCCATTGTGTCAAGCACATTTGTACATATGTTGCCATCATCATTTTCAAAACCTTTTCTTTCTTGAGCCCTTGGTATCAGTTCATTTGCACCACCACCATCCCACCGCCCATGGAATGTTTTCTTAATGTACAATTGCTCTTTGATATAAAGTTCTCTCTTACACACATGAGTGTCTATGAATGTTTTTCTCTAGTCTACCCAGACTAACACACCATCCAAGCAATCTCAAGTGTGCAAGAGTGTAATTGTACTCCACAGAGGTGTCAGAGTATATACAATTGTACTCCATGGAGGTGTCTGTTGCTGATGTGTTAGAAGTAGGTCACCAGACCTTTCTTCCACGGCACCTCTAGATGGACTCAAGCCTTTCAGTAAGCAGCACCATCCAGGAGACTCTAGTTAGTTAGCAGGGTCTTTTCATCAATTTTTTGCTTGTTTAGGATTAGTCAAAAAGTATTGCTACCAAATATCATAGACCCTTTATTAAACTATGAAAACCGTGGTGCTGCATTCCTCAACATCTCCTCCATCTAGACTGATACACGTGTGAAGATGGTGTTTCCTGCTCTCTGACCAGCCCTCCCTGCCCCCGACAAAGAATTCTGCACTCCTCAATTGACATCACATCAAAGCGGTAGCTTGGGCATCTTTGAGAGACTTAAACTGTGTTCCTTTGAAATATTCTTGGAGCTTTGAACACAGAGAAATCTGCAGGAGCAAGGTCAGGGCCACGGGGTGGATGGAGTAAGGCTTCCCATTGAGATCCACCTTCTCCGAATGAGTAGGTACGCTGTCGTGATGGGAAACAAAACATTCTTCTGAACAACTTCTGCGGCCTTTTCCTCACCAGTGCAGCTTCCAATTTTCTACAAGCTTCTTCATAAGAGATGCCCCATATCGTCCTGTGTCTTTCAAGAAAATCTACGAAGATGGCCCGGTTGGAATCCCACCGAACCGTTGCTGTACTCTGAGCTGACAGCTCTGCCTTGAACTGAACTGGCCCACAAGAGCTCCTTGGAAGACCCTGCTTTGGTTGGACTTTTCTGGGAAGACATCTAAAAACAGTGTGGTACTGACAAAACTTGTCTGCAGCCATCGCTGATTGTGGGGACAGGTTTGAACAAGTTTTGTTCAGAATAAATCTGTGCACGTATGAACCAGAACCTTAGCAGCAATACTTCTTGCTTTCTCTCATGTCATTCAAATTGAGACGTGATCGCAAATACATTACAGCACAAGGTAGAATCAGGGGATACCAATAAAACTGCTTTAAAACAAAACCTCCTTTGGTACCTGATTTCTATTTGTGGTGAATTCCTCGAAATGCAAACTTAAATACGAAACATTTTCAAAAAGATGATGAATTAGAAAAGCACCTTGAATTGAAACTATGTTGAGAAAAGAAGAGAGTTCAGAGAATGAGGAAGAATGAATCAGGGAGAAGAATGGAGCGAGGGACCAAGAGATGGGGATCAGGCTCGTGGGAGCGCTGTGGAAGAGAGACAGCACAAGGTAGGAGAAAGGAGCAGGGTCGGGGCTTGTACTTGTCAAAGTTGACATCCAGCATGCCGGGCTTCTCCTGGCTGATGCGTAACAGTGGAGTGTCCAGTCGGTGAATGCTGTCCTTGTCCAGCGTCGATGTCCAGTCTTGGAAGGTTTTTCGAACCAGTTCATCAATGGCCTGAACCAGCTGCTGATAGGTGTGTACACTCTCCTCTCCGGTGCCAATATGGGGCAGGAAGTGAGCACTAGAGAGACACTGGGGGGAAAGAACGGAAGATGGGCAGAGCTTGCTCGCCACATCCCCTCGGGCGCCCTCTCCTGGACACACACACACACACACCCCTACCTTGCCATGGACAGGGATTGGTTCTGATGAAATATGATATAGGAAAGGTGGGGCCAAAACCAAGCACGATGGCACACTGTGGAAAGAAGTCACTAGAACCCCCTCCCAGGGGGACGAACAACGAAAAGTGGGTGAGGGGCGAGAGGACGATGTGAGATATGAAAATAATAATCTATAATGTATCAAGGGTTCATGAGGGAGGGTGAGCTGCGGGGAGGGAGGGGAAAGAAATGGGGAGCTGATATCAGGGGCTCAAGTGGGAAGAGAATGCTTTGAAAACAATGATGGTGGCATAGGTGCAAATGTGCTTGACACACTGGATGAATGTATGGATTGTGTTGAGAGATGTAAGAGCCCCCATTAAAAGTATTTAATTAAAAAGAAGAGTTGTAAGAGCCCCCAATAAAATGATCTTAAAAAAAAAAAAGAAAGAAAATATTTTGAAAATGGTGACGGCAACACATGTACAAAAGTGCTTGGCACAATGGATGATGTATGAGTTGTGATAACTGTAGGAGCCCCCAATAAAATGAATTTTTTTAGAGAAAGAAAAAAGAAGAAGAGAGAGAAGCACAAAGATTCAGCTCAAGATGGGGTCAGAGGAGAGCCATGCAAAGAAAGAAAGTAACAGGAGGTGACGGGTGTAAGAGGGTCACTATTAAAAGCAAGGCTCCGCCTTGGTCCTTGTACTCCATAGACGCCCTTTTGTGAGCTGGCAAAGGGAACTGTCTGCTCACTGGGTCCTCATCACGGCAAAGTGATATTGGGGGAAAATCCAAGTTCGTGTAATTCGCACTGCTCAAATCTGTCTTAGGAGCGATCATTGATGCGGTGTATAACTTGACATAGATTTTTAGTACAACACAAACTACTTTAAATAAAGTCAGTGTGCACTTCCTCTGTCTCAGGCTAGCTAATACTGCAGTACAATATCCTGATTTTTTATGAGGGAGCAGAGTGCAGAGTGGTGTAAGACATATGTTCTGTATCTAAAAAACCAGGGCTGATAGGAGAACACCAGTGCCATTTTTGGAGTCAGCAAGTTGATTAGAGCCAGACACAAGTTTAACGTTTGAGGCACCAAAATGCGTATTGGCCACAGTTTTAGGGGTGTCCTCAGGTGGCCTGTTATTGCCCCAGCACAATGAGACCCACTCTGGGAGTGGCTGGACACTTACATTCATGACTCTATCGAGGCGACGGCGAAGGATCCGTAGCCAGTATGCTTGCCCCGAATACTGGGCCATATAGGACTCCAGGAAGGGCCATTTCTTGTTTACCTCGCGGTTCACAAGAGCCAGTTCACTGTTGAACAGCATGTAGAGGTCCACCGCCTTCTTGTCATATGTTCGATTTATAGCCTATGGAAGACGCGGAAGGCGTGAGGATGCTGGCTCCCTCCAATTCCCTCCACTGCCTCGTCCCAGAAGAAAGCTACGGGAGCCAACATCCCCGAGGGATCACGAGACTGGGAAAACAGGAAGAAAGGAGACCCTGGAGACTGAGACCATCTGCGGAAGCATAGCTGGAGGTCAGATGGTGTCTGGAAGCACTGGGCGGGGGGGAGGGGGGACTAAAGGGAACTAAAGAGACCCAAGGGGTGAAGGAGCAGCTGGGCAAGTGGCACCTCCCGGGCTGCCAGCCTGTGGAAAGTGTCCAACAGCAGCAGTCCGTGCTCCACATCTCGCACGAGCTCGAAGGCTGAGGTGATCAAATTCTGGGTCATCACCTCCAGGTCCTTGATCCCAGAGCGGAATCTGTGCCATCAGAGAAGTCTGTTAAAGTGGGAGTTGCTTCACCAACCCCTAAGAACATTCCCATATAAGATTAATGTGTGTTCAGTGGAACACTCCTCCTCACTAAAGGATCCTGACAAGACTGTGAAACACTTCATGACACCGCTGGATGGGGAGGACGTGATAGTGAGTGAAAGACAGAGTGTGGTGGGTCACACACGGCGGGCTGCTAAGTGCAAGGTCAGCGGTCGGAAACTACCAGTTCCTCCACGGGGGAAAGGCACATCTCTCTACTCCTGTAATAAGTGAGTCTTGGAAACCCTCGGGGACAGTTCTAAATATGAGTCGGAATTGACTGGATGGCAGTGAGCTTTTCAGTTACACTGAACGAGGTGGGGCCAATACAGAAGGATAAATCTTGTATGAGACCACTGTTCTAAAAAATCAGGAAGAGGTTTCCAGAATGTGGGAGGGGAAAAATGAGGACCTAATGTCGGGGGTTTAAATGGAGAGAAAATGTTTTGAGAAACGATGTACAAATGCGCTTTACACAATTGATGTGTATATGGATTGGGATAACAGTTGTATGAGCCCCTAATAAAATGTTAAAAAAAAAAAAAAGAAACAGAATGTGAAGGCTACCAAGGGTGGGGTGGGAAGGCAGGGAAAGGGAAGACCCAAGCTAGAGAGCCGACACATCTTACTTTGGAGGAAGGGGAAGGGAAGAGAGATGGGGGAATAAAAGGGAGGGGAGGAAACCAGGCAAGTCTTGGGAGGTTTGATACATTAAGTTGTCGAAAGCAAAAATGATGATCTGATATGTACACCCCGACCAAACACACAATAGTTATTTCTTTACCGATTGTGTCATTATTTTCCAAGGGCTTCCCAGGAGACAGACACTTGGAGGGCTTCCCACCTGTTGGTTCATTTAATCCTCAGAGCAATGCAATGAGGTGGATTCTATAATGACCCTCACTTTATTGATGGAGGTCTTTGTTATTTTTCTTAACCAATATGCATGGCTAATTCAAAATTGCATCTCTTTTTGTTTTCTTGTAGGCATTCTATTACTCCATTGGCATCTTCGGAGATACAAGTGTTAAGGAGCCCATCTCCTCACCTCATTTTATAAAGGAGGAAAAACTGAGGCACAGGCTGGTGTGTGACGAGAATTTGAATGCTAAGAATCTGACCTAGGAAGTCTTCATAAAACCAGCCACTTCCCTTTCTTTCACTCTCCCCCGCCCGTCCCTTCCCATGCCTGATTGCGTCCAAGTCCTTTATAAGTCATGCCACTCCACCCTGTGCCTTTCCTCCTCCCACCCGACACCCCTGCTTCTCTCGTAATTTTTTAAATCATTTTATTGGGGGTTCATACAACTCTTATCACAATCCATACATCCATCCATTGTGTAAAGCACATTTGTATATCCGTTACCCTCATCATTCTCAAAACATTCCGTCTCCACGTAAGCCCATGGCATCAGCTCCTATTTTCCCCCGCCCTCCCCCTTGTTTCTCTCACTTGTTGTAATCTTCGTGCCAAGACGTGTTCTTGACATCCAGGATGCCCCCTCGAACTGCTCGAAGCATGTGCAGATTTCTGTGAAAGATGTCCTCGATCTCCAGCAAGTTCCGTGTTATCTGTGGCCCCTGGGCACCGAAGAAGCAAGGGAGGGGGCCTTGCTTGCCATCCTCCCATCGGGCAAAGTGGTACTGACATTCACATACCTAAAAAGAACTCTGCATAAGGACTCTCACCTGCCCTTCAGAACTTGAAAGTCCTGAGCTTACTGGTTTAGCCTAAGATGTCTAAAACCTAGGGATGACCAACTAGATGCAGGAGGTTACTGGGTTGAATTTGGATGACATATGAGATAGGAGGGCAGTGACAACAGGCAAAAATCTAAAAGCAAAAAAAAAAAAAAAAAACCGGAGTGGCAACGGGGTAAGTTCTATGTTTGGCTCCTAGATGGGGACTCAAGGCAGGGGGAGGTCGGCTGTTGGCTTTTCTTCCCTGTCCCTGCCAGCCTTCCAACCTCAATGAGGTCCTTGCAGCGCTGCACAAAAGCGTCCACTTGAGCGAATATGCTGGACTGGTCTAGGACCCAGCCCCGGTTGGAGAACCTAATGAGGAGAAAGATGAACTGAATCAAAACACGGGAATACTAGGTATCAAGCTGATTCTGCAAAGCGTGATCTCGGCGTCCAGGGTTTAGGGAGAGTCTTAGAAAATGAAACTCTAGGAAGTTTCCCTGAAGGCTGGGGAAAGAAACTCAAGGGGAGAAGAGTTGATGCCAGGGAGGAGGCATCAACATTTAAGTTCTAGGTTTAAACATAGTACAACTTTAGACTTTGGGGCCAACAGGGAGGAAAAGACCAGGAAGGGTTTCTGGTATGAGTAAAAGGCTATTAGACTAAGGAGACGTAGGGCTACAGGTAGACCATGTGTCCAGAGAGAGGACTTGGCCCAATGTGGGAATTTCTAGAGCTAGAAAAATATAATCTGCAAGTTTAAAAGGGAAAAGAAAGGCATCAACAAGCCTCTCCCCTGTCAGGAATGGGAAGGCTCTCTGGGCCATCAGGAACATCAGGTCACATGGCGTACTGAGTATGCATCTGCACAGCCCGCAGGTAGTGATCTTTCCAGGCATGACAACAGGAAATGCAGCCCAGGAGCTCCTCCTTGCTGGAAGTGACGTGGCCCTCAAAGATTCGGTCCAGGGAGATGGCATGGCAGCATAAGCGGATGATCTCATTGCTCATCTATGGAAGGATTCGCAACAGCCGCAAACCACATGTTATTTCTACCCAGCCCCGTCTCAGAATCCCCGTGACACAGCTAGGTCTCTGCCTGCTGTTGACGCTGCTCAACTCCTGTCACCAACTCCATCTACTCTGACCTCCTTGTCCTATTCAAAACCAAACTCACTGCTATCGATTCTGACTCACAGAGACCCTACAGCCCAGAACAGTGCTGCCCTGTGCGGCTCTGAAGCTTAAAATATTTACAGGAATAGAAAGCCTGGCCTTTCTCCCCACAGAGTGGCTGGGGGTTTGGCCTGCTAAACTTGCGGTTAGCAGCCCAACATATAACCCACACCAGGTCTCCTACTCATTTGAACCATGAGGTGGCCCTTGATTCTGCACACCACAGTGAACGCTCAGCTCTACCCTCTCCCCCTCTGCCCTGGAGACCCCAGATAAAATGCACCAGCCCCTGATCCTCAAGACCCAGTTTCCCCTCCTAAATCGACCTCGCCCTCTCCCCACTCACTTCAACATTCACTTTTAGAAATGAGAAAAGTGTCCTCCTCCCTCTGGACACTTTAGACTGGGTGTCCATCACCCTGCCTCCCTCTTGATACTCTTATCAACCCTTCTCAAAATCTTTCTTCCCACCTGAGCGCCTGCCCTCTGGAAACAAAGCCCACCTCCTATGATGCAGATACCTCACTCCCTTCTTAAAGATATTCTGCTAAATTAATTCTAACTTCTGCTGTAAAAAAAAAACAAAAAAAAAAACAAAGAAAGAAAAGAAATCTGAGATCTATCAAATAAGCCACCCTCTTAAAACCCTCTGCTTCACCTTCTGCCCACACGCACCTTGCGGAAGAGGGAGGTCAGTCTCTCCCGAGTGTTGTAATGGGGAGAGTTGACCCAGATGATGCGGATGAGACTGATCAATTTAGGGAGCTTACTGGAGATGTCCTTAGGCCGCATGAAAGCCAATTCCTGGTAAGGTTCCTTCAGGATTGACAAAAAGGTCAGATTGGACTGTGCTTGACGAGAGCCATCCTGGTGAGAGAGAGAGCCCGGAATAGACTTTAATCCACTGGAAAGAACTGATTCATAGCGAGTGTTTTTTATCTACCTTAAGTCCCAGCCTGATTCCAGTACGTCTCCACTGAGAAGCTGCCCCAATTCAACTCATTTCCCTCTAGTTCTTGCAGATCTCAGACCAGAGTTTGCTTAATAGCTTGTATTCCTTTGCTAGGTTCTATGGAAATGTTTGTATAGCTTCTCGTGCCTGAGTCTCATCTCCCTCATTAGACACCTGATGTACCTCCTCCTCTAGTTTTCTCCAGGGAACTTGACCTCTCTGCACGGAGTGCCTACTTAATAGTTGCTGATTGATGAAGACTCGGGAAGCCTCCAAGGCGATGGCCCTTAGTCACAATTCCAGTCTGGAACTAAACTCACCCCCCATGGCTCAGTTTTCAGCAAAACAAGAGACCGATCTGTAAGGGGAGCGATCACACTGGTCAGGCACTCCCGCCTCAGAATCATCAACCACATGAGATCAACAGGCCAGCGTTCACCCCAGGCCAAGGTTCAGCGGGGTTAGGAAAGGAGGAGGGAGGGACACAGAGAACACAGGGCGGAAGCGGATGAGCGCTGTTGCAGGGACGGGATTGCACTGAATGGAATGGGACAGAAGGTGTGTGAACTGTGGAATGGAAAACTGACCATCTGTGTGCTACTCTCTTAGCTTCTTTGTGTCCAGGAACTCACCGAATCAGCACGCCACACTATCTTACATTGATATATATGTTAACTTTGTCATTTTCTTGCTTGAACTATATGAGCTTGTGTTTGATCTCTTGCTACCCAGTATTTCCATTCGGTGTAAAGTCTTGCGTTCTCAGCTGGATGATAGGAGTTGGGGGTCACAGAGGGTGCTTAACATATATTTATTGACTAATTGGGTGTATTTGTTCCTAACCAAATCACAAGCTCCTTACCAAAAAAAACAAACCAATTGCTACCGAGTCCATTCTGAATCACAGTGATCCTACAGGCAGAGTAGACTACCCTCTAGAGCAGTGGTTCTCAACCTTCCTAATGCCGCAACCCTTTCATACAGTTTCTCATCTGTGGTGACCCCCCCAACCATAACATTATTTTCATTGCTACTTCATCACTGTCATTTTGCTACTGTGATGAATCGGGCGACCCCTGTGAAAGGGTCATTTGACACCCACAGGGGGTTGCGACCCCCAGGGGCGAGAATCGCTGCTCTAGAGTTTCTGACGCCATGGATCTTTGCAGGAAGAGGCAGTCTCCTCTTTCTCCCTCGGGACTGGTCTGTTCAAACAGCTGACTGATATTGGAAGGAACCCGCTTCACACCCAGGGCTCACGAGTCCCTTGGGAAATCTCTTTTCTCCTATAAAGTAGTTTCACCTTTCCCCATCAACCCAAATGTATACATGACAGTGGCTCCATCTGCGCTGTGGGCGGTGACATTCTTTCTTCCTAGCCCCGTCCATCATCCCAGTCATCGCCCACTTTCTGCTACCCCTCCATCCACGGATCCACTCACAGACCTGGATTTGCTGAGCCAACTTCATGAAAGGTGTCAAGTAGGACGACTTGGCAAGGTGCAGAATGTTCTCAATGTGTTTCACTCCTTGCTTCACCAGCTGCTTACTGATGCCAGACAGGTCCATACATCGGTTGCGCCAGAACTCAATCTCCTCCAGAGGACCCAAGCTTTCTCCCGTCTCCACCGTCTCCTGGGCACTGAGCACCTCCTTTATCTGCCGGGTCCAGTGGATCATGGAGGCTGTGGGGAAGAGTGCAAAACCTCTTCCATGTCCTTACACTGTTCCCCCATCTGTCCTTCCCTGCCCCACATGGCCCCCCTAACCCTGCTCCTTTCTCAGCATCCAGGGCGCCCCCTTGACTCTCTGTTGGGATTCCCACTAGACGGCAGCAGTGCCAAGCCCTCACTCTCTAGCCGCTGCACCAGCTCCTTGTCCTTCACCACCACCTCCGGTTTCATATTCACGGCTTCCGAGGGGATGTAGAGAACCGTGTGGCCTTCCAGTTTGTACCGCGTATCTAAGGAAAAGAAAAGTCAGAAAGTTCACAGAAGAGGGGTGAATTGTTTGCCATCCCAGTCCCAACAGTGTCAGGGCTCAGGAAGTGCAGGCACTTCAGGAAGAAGATATGACTCCAATTCTTTTTGTTGTTGTCCAGAGGGAAAACAGAAGGCAAGAGAAACTGCATGAGGTAGAACGAGAATTCTTTGATGTAGAATCAGAACAAAGATCTGTACCGTGCTCTCCACCACGCTCTCTACCACAATGCATGCAAATCCCTCTAGGAGCCTCCAGTCACTAGTCCATCTCCTTAGGCTACCTGTAATCTTAGAAACCTGCACCTTGAGCAAGTCGGCACAACCAGTTCTACAGCAGAGAACTGTATCTACCTTGGAGAGCAGATTCTGCTCCTTGTTCCACTCAGTACCGACCAGTGACATTACAAGTCGGGTCGGGTACCACAGGGGGAGTGTGGACCACACTGGGTGATGCTGCCAGAGGGGGTAAACCCAAAATGACTGTCTATAAAAGTGTTGTGTCTAGAGGATGTACACGGGTACAGATAAGAACTGGAAACACAGGGAATCCAGGACAGATGATCCCTTCAGGACTAGTGGTGAGAGTGGTGATACCGGGAGGGTGGAGGGAAGGTGGGGTAGAAAAGGGGAACCGATTACAAGGATCCACATATAACCTCCTCCCTGGGGGATGGACAACAGAAAAGTGGGTGAAGGGAGACAATGGACAGTGTAAGATAAGACAAAAGAATAATAATTTATAAATTATCAAGGGTTCATGATGGAGGGGGGAGCGGGGAGGGATGGGAAAAAATGAGGCGCTGATACCAAGGGCTCAAGTAGAAAGCAAATGTTTTGAGAATGATGATGGCAACAAATGTACAAATGTGCTTGACACAATGGATGGATGTATGGATTGTGATAAGAGTTGTATGAGCCCCCAGTAAAATGATTGGGGGAAAAAAGTGTTTGCTGATCTAAAGACTGGTCTGAGTGGTTATAAAACGAGGAAAAATAAAGTTGAAACTGACTGAAGTTCTTTTGTGACACACAAGCTACTTTCAAACCAACTAACTAAAATTTTTTGTGTGTGCAGTGTTGGTTCAAATGCCTGTAGTTTGTTTTAACAACAAAAACATTTTTCATAAGCCCAGCTTACACGCATCAATAGACCTATGTGACTGAAACTCTGTGCTAATCTACTTTTTAAGCCTCCTCACCCGCTCCAGTGGAAGCTGCCATCATCATCCAGTGACAATGATACTGCCAAGTGTGTGACTTCCTCTGCCAGGGCAGGCAACATGCTGCCGGTGCTTTTAAAGAGTCGCTGGTTTTGTCAAATATCCTGAGCTACAATATTGTGATGATCAGTATTTGTGAACCTATATCCATAACTTCTTTGTGAGAAGTAGTAATTAAAGGAAAAGATGGAGAAAAAAATTTTTTTTAATTCCCTACAGTTGCTAACAATGGTCTAACTAAGTTATCATTTAGCATAGAAAGATTTTGCAAAACAATTTTGTTGCTAGTATTCCTATCATCTAAGATATATTACATAGGGAGGAGGGAGCAGGGAAGTAGGGGAAAAATGAGGACCTAATGCCGGGGGTTTAAGTGGAGAGAAAATATTTTGAGAATGATGAGGGCAATGAATGTACAGATGTGCTTTACACAATTGATGTATGTATAGATTGTGATAAGAGTTGTATGAGCCCCTAATAAAATGATTTTTTTAAAGGCAAAAAATAAAATAAAATAAAATATTTTAAAGAAATATTACATTTAAAAATGTATGGCTCTATTTATCATATCTGAGGGAGCTTCCAAAAGTTCATGGGAAAATGGAATTAAAATGATAATGGGATTTTTTTCCACCCGAATATTAGTCTATGATCAAATGCGATGATAAACATTACTAAGGATTCTGAATGGTCTGCTATAGAAAGAGCTCCATGAGGGAGCGGAATGGACAGCATGATTGACAGCACTAGGTGACCCCGGACCGAGTGATAACCCTGGTGCCTACTAAGGATCGGGCAACGCAGGCACTGAGGGGAAACCCCCACTGCCCCACTAGGTGGGTGGAGCACGGCAGGGAAAACAGGCCCTTGAGACTTCCCACTCACCTGTCAGACATGCCAAGAACCGGTCCAGATGGGCAGCAAAGTGGTTTCGAATGCTCTCAGGCCAAGCGGTATTTGAAAAGATCTGAGGCGCAAAGACGCCACTGAGCAGGCGAAGTAGGGCAGGGATGTAGGCCCCTCGCACCGTCCCAAACTGTACAGTGGTCTGGAAGTTCTCCTGCGTGATGGGGACTGGGGCATGGCGAATGAAGTAGGCAATCTGGTTCTGGGTCTGCAGGAAAGACAGTAGATGAGCCCGGAGATTCGGTCTCCAGCCCTAGAGAAATCACCACTCTCCAAAGACCAGTTTAAGTGGGAGCTGAGTTCTTTGCCATATCCCCTTACCTTATCCTGATCAGTCTACAAAGCTAAGTGCCATAAGGCTCTTCCTGCTGCTTTCGGGAACATAAATAGATTCCATATGCAGAGATGTGGGGAGGAAGTGCAGAAAGTGTACCTCGAAGGTAAGGCCTGCGTATTTTGTCCAACTTTGCTCAGAGTCAGCAGAGTGCCTGGCGCATAATGGATAGGCCGCACGTGTGGACTAGATGGACGGACCCCTCTAGTTCTGGGAGGCAGTCGTCCTCAGCTGTTCACGGCTCCTCACACTCATTCGTTTGCTGGAGAGATTTTGGTGTTGTTTACATTCGGAAACCTGTAACTTCCAGTAGTTAAATCTAAAATATTTAAAAATTTGTTTCTGACTCCTACATGCTTAGAAAGGCCATTCCCAATCTCAGATCAACAATTCCATTGCTTTTTCACCTGTAGCACTAGTAAAACTACCTTCAAAAGTTTATTTTTATTTTTTTTAATTTAATCATTTTATTGGGGGCTCGTACAGCTCTTATCACGATCCACATATCCATCCATTGGGTCAAGCACATTTGTACATTCGTTGCCATCATCATTCCAGAGTTTCAAATAAGTGTTTCTTCACCCATATGAATGAAGATATCTTTCTAAGGTTATGACATATACATATATTATAAAAATTAAATGGATAAGAGGTCATTTTTATCACTACATTTCAATTTTAAATTCTTTGGAAAGATAAGGGCATTAATATTCTCAGACTTCTTTCACATTTCAACACCACTTACTTACTGATTAATTTTTGTTCTCGTGTTTTCCCATTGTTCAGGTTTACAACATTCACATTCTGTCCCACAACTATAATTCTCAGGGTTATTTATTTAAATGAGTTGAATGTTCATAAATTTTCTATTCCTGAGTTCTTCGTTTGGGAGGTGCGGGGGGGAGGTGCATCTAGTAAGTTTATTTACAAAGATATCCAGTATGCTGTACTAATTCAACAGCATTTGATCCATTTTTTCAGAGTTTGAACTTCTTAAAGTACTCTTAAAAAAACGTATCTGCCTCATGGATGAACTTCAATGTGGGAAACTAACTCTGAAGGAAATATGACTGGGACTTATTCCCTGACTAGTACAGAAGGAATCTGGACAGCTAGAATTCCACGATAGAAAAGCCGCCACTTCGGAAAGTTAGAGATATAGTCCAAGTACATTTTCCTGCGTTAACTATCTTTCCACAGACTCCCCTTAAAGCTGTGCTGCCTTAAAGTGAGCACATGGTTGATTCTATCTTCCTATAGAAGCAGACATTCCTATTTGCTCTATTTCTTCCCACTATGACATCCAATCCCTCTCACACCTTCCTCCAAAAGTAGTTGGGCATAGTGGGGCTTATCCCGTGCCTGGATTCAAAATGCTTGCCATAAGCCTGAATTTTTGGCATGGCTAATATTGTCACCCAATTTGTCTTGACAGCTTTTGTAAGGCACGGTGACTCCATGACAGGCCAAGCCTCTTAAGGCAGGCCCAAGTTTCGTTTCTCTAACAGCCTTGAGTTTCATTCCCCTAACAAAGTCACCCTCTCCCCCAAAATGACGCTGACCACACCTGGAAAGGCCCGAGTGATCACAATAACGCTGACCGCACCTAGAAAAGTTCTGAGTGACCACAATTGGAACGTTCCGAGAGTGGAGCCAGTCAACCAACAAGACCTGCACAACCAACTGTCTCCAGATGAAGTCATTGAGCTATGGGAGGGTGAGGGGGAATAGTTTCACCCAGCGTATGGAACCTGTAAAGAGTAGAAACACTTAAAAAAAAAAAAAAAGAGTAGAAACACTTGGCTTGTGCCCCAGGCCGGGGGCCTCGTCTCAAAGGAGGCCACTGCATTGGTGCTCTAGAACTTGGGCCCTAGCTCGAGCTAGTCCATAAACTCCTTTGTGGTTTGCAGCCTCGGTGACTCTGCCTCTCTGTTCCTGGGGCCATGGGAAAGCCAGCAGTAATACTTTCAATGTCTAGAAAAGAACCATGTAGCCCTAGTAGCTCTTCTGAATTTATTTTTTTTCTCCTTTCTTCTTCTTTTTTTTAAATCGTTTTATTAGGGGCTCATACAACTCTTATCACAATCCATACACACATCAATTGTGTAAAGCGCATTTGTACATTCATTGCTCTCATCA